ATTATTCTCAAACAAAGGTTTCAAAGTGTGGTATTTGAATGAAATTTAGGCAGTTTGAATCACCTTTGTCGTTCGTTTATATTTAAGCTCTTGTGATTCTCAACTAAGTTCACCAGTATAAATCATTTTCTTGGTACCTCTGACCTTCCTGAGCTTTGAATGTAAAGTATGTAATAGATTTGTCTATCCTATGGCAGAAATTCCTTTCTACATCCATGTCTTACAGTATTTCTTTGTTTTCCGTGCTGTCGTTTATGTTGTTTGTCATTTTCTTCCCCCACAACAATTTGATGCAGAATATTTGAAGAAAACAAAATACCACTTCTTTCAAGCATGATGTCACAATGCTTCTGAGTTGGCTTCTGATAGGATTTACAAGCATGAAATATTGAACTGAGATAAAAATGAGATCTTTCAGACAAAATGGAGATTCTTTGCAGTAGTAATTCCTGTTACATGGTAGAATATGAAGGAATAGCTTTAGGTTTTGAATACCTAAATTATCTGTGGGACAATGTCTGTAGCATGAGGAGAATTATCTGGAAGTGCAGACATGCTTCTGAGCGCACAGACATTTTTCTCATGTCACATTCTCCCATATTTGTTCTCTTCCAAAGTAGTTAGTTAATTTCATTAAAATTGCTTCTGATTTGTGATGCTGTGCATGAGATTACAATGAGGTCTTCTGGAGTCATTGTTACTTCAGAAAATTAAGATGGAGGCAAGTATACTTTATGTATAAACAAGCTAGCATCCTTTTCACCATTAAATCTAAAGAAAGCAATTTGTAGGATTCAAAACTTTGAGATAAGGCTGAATTCCTTTATTTCCTGTTTTCTTTTCCAGACATAGTGATTCTGTGATGTGTTAATTCATATCTCTAAAGAACTTGTCAATATAATTTTCAAGGCTGGCAGTTTCTTAGTCCTTTCTGTCTTTATGTTGTCATCTTCTAGAGGGAGGATTTAGGTTTGCAAAGGGCTAGGCTTGGTTTTTTAGTTAGATCTTGTAATAGCATTCAGATCCTCTTTTCACATTCTTTCTATTAGAGCAGACATTCCCACTGGGAATGCTTACAGTAGATTTTTCTTTCACCATTTAAAAAGTGGTGCTTTCTGGGAAGAGCTTGTATTAAGCCTGAAATCTGCTCCTCTGCCTTTCTCCTGGCTGTGTTGGTGGATGGATTAAATGGCTTTTTTGGCATGTACATGTCAAAATCAGCTGGTGGACAACACTGCAGTAGCGTATGAATCACTTTGGTCTTAGGTAGATTATGTTATCATTGAGATACATCTTCAAAGACATGCCTTCATTAAATCAAGAACATGAATTTTGATACACAAAACTTGATTCCAGCACATAAAGTGCCTGAATGGCAACCTTGTTTATTAGGAAGTCGTTTCTATTTCTTGTTGATACGATATTTCCCTTGTCTTCCATATGTGCTTCCTCCTACTGATGAATGTTATGCAGCCACCAAAACAGACTTTTTTTTTTTTGGTAAATATTCAGATAAAGGATTGCTCCAAGGAGCTGTGACTACATTGTTGGCAGGCAGTCTTCATTTCAAACGCTTGGCAGTGGAAAACCGCCATGAGTAACACTGCAGCTTTGTAGCCTTTGTCACCAATCAGTTCTCAAAAGCTTTTGTAATTAGGTGAAGAAAATATTGCTTGAATATTTCTGTCTTTTTGTACTCCTTTGATTGTGTGTCTAAAGAGAGTGTCTATGTAATAGCCTTCTGAAGATTTTCAATCTCATTGGAATCTCTTATGTGATAAACAGCAAGGCTACTGCTCAGTATGCACCAACACCTGGGAATAATAACGAAAAAATAACAGTGAGAAACTGCAGAGCATCTGTTCTTCACATTAACTTTCCTCAGTTTGAAAGACTGCCACAACCAGATGTTAGTCTTATGTGCCTTTTTTCCACTGGAGATGGCAGCTTTCCTGCCTCTCTTTGCCTCTAATACCTTACATCAGTGCTCTTTGGAGAATTCATGAAAACAATTGTGTCACCACAATGATCTCTAAGAACCACCACTTTGCAGTGCTGTTATGATTATCAAATAAGATGGGATAATTTTAAAAGATGGAAATTTGGAATAATGTTTAAGCCTATTGTTTTTTTCCTTGTGGCTAAGGTTATACTTGTGCAATGAACATGTATCTCTGTGACAGTAAATGTACACTTATTTCTCAGCCAAAGGTTTAGTGCTTTAATTTACACAGAAACAGCCCCATTTAGTGCAAGCACCCCTATTTGGCCTTGTCCTGAGTTAATGTTTCTAGTGGAAAACATGAACATTTATTAGCAGGTCTAAAAAAACCAGAACTGAGCACAAATATTTGTAACAAAGAACTTAATAGGATACACTGTCAGATCCATGCTTTTGCTAGCTCCCCCTCACTGTTTATAATAGTCAAAAATGGAAAACACATCTGTCAATTTAGTTCATTTAAAACATTGGCTAATTTAGTGTGAGCACAGAAAACACTTAGGATTTTCTTTCTCTGGTTTTGTGATAACTCTATTTTATGGAAGAATGATGTTGTATGTGTCATAGGAGGTTTTGCACAACTTTACAGAACACCATGTAAACTATCAAACAGGCTCTTAATCAGATTTTTTTGGGTTTATAATCACATGTGGTTTAGATTTTCCTAAGTGCTAAGCTTCATTTACCTGCTGGTTACTGACCCTGGTTGTCTTCTGGTTTGAAGTAAGGTATGTTAAGAACTCCTAAATGATGTGGGGGTACTTGCTGACCAGGTTTCACTGACAGAGCACCATTACACACCCTTATGCAGGGAACAGTGCTTTGTGTGCCTTCACTTGGCATCAGGCAGCAGGAGCTGCAGAACACAGGATCAGTGTCTCCTCATGCACAGCATCCACAGTTGTGGTTTTGTGTGATGTGTGCTATTAGATACTGCAAGTAATAGCTGCTGCTGAGGGTCAGTTGATATCTGACTTTCCTGTGTGGATTCAAGTCTGCTCTGCAAAGCTTTCTGCCTTTTTTAACTCTGCAACTCTCGGCATAAAGAGAAGAATAAAGACATCATTGCTTGAGTGCATTGTTCTCTCTGCAAGAATTGCTTTAACTGGTAGAATTTTGATGGTATTAGTAGGTTTTTACTCCTTAGGGATGCCTTCAGTATTTATTTTGCTTTGGTTTTGGTGTTGTGGATTTTGTGTTTGTTTGTTTGTGTTTATATTTGTGGATTTTGTTTGCTTTTGTTGGGGTTTTTGTTTGTTCTCTTTTTTGTTTGGTTTACTGGGTTTGTTTGTTTTTTTACCTACCTCTAACCTAAAGCTTTCATTCCCTCTAAATGAGGAATACCTTGGAGAAGACTGTGATTAGGTCCTTTCCTTCTCCTGCTTAGTTCTAATGTAATTGAGATCAGAATTTAGGCTGGTCATACAAAGATCATGCAAAACATTTTTATATTTATATATTTAAGTTATTGAGAATTTAGCACACATAAGGCTTAAACACACAATTAAAAGCCTTGGCACTCGGTTTGCATCTAAAAATAACGCTAAAAAAACCAGAATTGTTACAAAGGCCGATGGTAAAAATTGTTCCAATTTTTAGAAAGTTCTTCTTAATTTGTCATTTTATGTTCTCATAACAAAGTGTCCATCTGATGAAGTGAGCTGGTCTGTGATACATGTACATATGTATCATATGTACATGTATCATCTATGTACATGTATTATCTATGTACATAATACCTTTTAGTCTGTCCTTTTCTTTGTATCCCTCTTTTACTTTACAAAAAGGAAAATTAACTTTGATCTATGTTAAGATACATTTGAGCAAAAACCTAGATGATGTATAGGGAGTCATTACATCTTTTCTCTTGAGTCTTCTTATGAGGACCAAAATTAAAAACAGCATAGTCATGAAGACATTTGATCATCTCTTTCAGTGCAGCTAAAAAGCAGCTATTTAAAAAAAAAAGAAAGCCATTAGGTTGAAGAGTGATTTCTTTGAGAGTGGTATCTGTGATCCAATGGGCCAAATGAACGTGAGTTCCAGGTGGTGTAGCTAGTTGACTGGACACACTCATATCCTTATCTAGCTGTCTTTTATGGGACAAGGGACCTTAGAGCCAGAGTGAAGTATTGAAAACCCTCAGCCAAGTAAAATACAGAAAGTACAGAAAATCTGTTCCTGAGTAAACTGGAAGTCATACAAGAGGGAGAAATAACTTCTTCAGTTCAGATGTTGATATTGTCTCTGTGAATTGTCTTGTGTTAAGACTGATTGTCTGGCAAGATGCATTTTTCTAAATATACATTTTGGAAAGCCTGAGAAATAAGATGGTTTGGCTCGTTCTTATAAAAGTCCTCTCTATTATTCCAAATAGAAAGATCTAAATGCTATCTGTAAGGTATTAGGTGGATCATCCTAATGTATTTTAAATGATTGGATGACAAGAGATTGTATTTGATGTCATATAGATATTAGAATTGTTCCAGCTACTCATTTCTCTATGATACAAATGAAAGAATAGCATTTGTGTCTTCGTACCTGTCTTTATAAATGTTTTTCTGTAAATAGAAATGAAGTTCCCAGTTAACAAAAATAATTTCCATCCACAAATCAGGCTCTGTCAGTGCCGAGAAAAAAAGTAAACTTAATCCTTGTTGTAAAAATTTATTATTATTTCATACTAACAGTCTATGACAACAGGGAATAGTCTAGAAGAAACTTAGCAAGTTGCCTTGTTTAGCATGTATGATAGATAGTTTTGTACTTAATTTTTCATGTGTGACATTTGGGCTAATGCCAAAAAATTTGAACTCATAAGGCTGCCATTACCTGTGATACACCAAATCTATACATAAAAAAATGCTGTCATGGTAAACTGGACTTTCCATAACTTCTTAAAAAATTATTTATGTATTTTATTTTATATTATTTTATTTTCATTTTAGTTTTTTAACTCTCACAGCACCATTATAGTAAGTTTGTCTGTTGTTTTCAGGTTGATCCCCTGTTTACAGTGCCTGCACCTCCACCTCCGATTTCCAGCAGTATAACACCTCAGATTCTGCCTTCCTACTTTTCCCCATCTTCATCCAATATTGCAGCACCAGTCGAGCAGCTTTTGGTACGGACACGTTCAGTGGGTGTAAATACTTGCGAGGTTGGAGTAGTAACTGAACCCGAATGCCTTGGACCCTGTGAGCCTGGGACCAGCGTGAACTTGGAAGGAATTGTGTGGCATGAAACTGAAGAAGGTAAATTGTTTTTTCCATTAGGTATGTCTCTGAGATATGTCAACAAGAGGGTATATGCTGTATCTTCCTGGGTGCTAGCTAAAGGCCTGCTAATCTGTTGGGACATCATTGTATGCTATAGCATACACAGCTTTACAGTTCAGCTAGTGAGCTTTTATTTTAAAAACAAATGATGGGTCTTTTTATTATTTAAAGCAACTGTCTTTTCCAAATGACCTACCATGTAACTGCAGCTAATAATAGAATTGTTTCCTCTTGCTATATTAAGAGAAACAGATGAAGAAATTGCTAATAGAATAGCATAAATGTGCTATTTAAATGTACATCATGGTGGGGGTGTTTGGGAGTGGATGTATGAATAGTTTAGATGAAAACTTAGAAAGATGACTATTTCAGCTGATAAGAAATGCCATGATTACATAACAATTGAGGCCCCAGAGACACTGCAAAAATTCAATTGATTATTTTTGCTTTTTGGTTATCTAAAATATGCTTTAAGAGGAAAGCTTTCAGCCTTGAAGAAAAATGTTCCATGTGGTGAAGAAGTGCTGTCAAAACCAGATTGATTTCTTTAATATCATTTGAAGGCATTTGTCCGAGTAGGAGTGCTGGAGAGCTTTGGGGAACACTAAACGTTGATTTGATTGTTATGATTAGAACAAAGTAAGTAGGAAGAGGATTATGCTGTGATACGCAGATTTTTCCATTTTGGATTTCAAAAGCTCATTATTAAAATACCACCTTTCTCCTGCTAAAAATACTATGTGTACACTAAACTTCTGCAATTTTTCATTTAATAGTAGCAGATGCTTTCATTTATAGCTGTGTGAAAATCTTCCTGTGATAGTTCTTATATTTCTTTTGAGGATTATTTAATTTTTAGTGATCTATCTTCCTCAACAGTGAAAACAAGATTATTTACAAAATGATATAATGACAGAATATAGCAATGCATTGCTTCATGATAAATCCTCACATGCTTCAGACCATATGCACAATGGCACTTCATCCTTCGCAGTGATATATAAGACCTCACCAAAGTGCTCTATGCTGTCCTCTCAAAAATCAATAGAGTCAGATTTACTTGCTTTTATATGCTTTCATCCATCCATCTTTCTCTCTGTGTATGTCTACAGCAGATTCATAAGGTAGATTGATCCTTTTAGATTGTTTTTAAAGCACAGTATAAATTCTGTTTTAAAATATCCCTGCAGAGATGACTGCCCTCAGCAACTCCAATCTTTCTTGACTGGCCTGTATTAACTGGAGTTGGAATGTGTAGGTGTTAACTGTGAAATGGGTGTTAACATGAAAGAGCAGTAGCTGTTAATAGTATTATTCTTGCTGAATAAACTAAACTTCTTAATCCCACTGAATTTAAGATACCAGAAATGCAGTATCAAAAAAAAAGTGTGTTCTGTTCAGGGTGACATTCCATTTACCAGTGTCTCAGCACTCTTAATGGTTTAAAAACTTCTTGTTAGTTAATGGAAATTAACTCTCTTAGCCTTTTTCTAGTTTTGGCTAAAAGAATTTTCTGAAACAATTCAGTGATGGCTTGTTTGAATGAAACTGTTATGAGTGTGCCTATTTTCATACCCTTAAAAACACTCTTTGTGAACACTACAACTATGAGTGACTACAAATATAGATAAAATGGGATTCTAAAATACTCTAGAAATATAGCTAGAGTGTAGATTAAGAGACTGAAGATCCTTGATATGATATAATATTGTGTGGTTTGTACCATGCTGTTTGTGTGTTTCAGATCCTGCTGACTGAAGAAACTAATACAAATTTGTCTGTTTTATCCCAGAGTCCACAATCAACACTGTATTAAGAAAAACGAGTTCCTAATGATGATTTTTGCATTTTAATTAACTTTTGATGTTTGGAGCACACATATAAGTATATATTTATGTGTTTTCAAACTTTATGACATGTTCATGAAAGCAGCTATATAGAAGCTTGCATGGGGCCATTTCTGCCAAATTCTAGGAAATAGGTCTTCTTTTTACCTTTAATAGAAAAAATATATTACCAGATACTCATTTTCTCAAGTTCTGATTTTGACTTTAGGGCAGAATACAACCTTTCCTGAACTGGTGTAAATCCACCTTACTTTAACCAAAGTCTTTGTAACTAGGCACATCAAAAACCATCTTGACACTCATGATGACACACAATTTTTTTTTGTGATTTTCATGTGTTTCTTTAGTTTTCTCCCCCTTTACTGCTTTCCAACAGTAAATAAAAACAACCCATGCAAACTGACACTTTTCTGGCTGTCTATATATCCCATTGCTTCTTAACATAAAACAATTTGAAGAAGCTAAGGAAGGTATGAATATTTCTAATCCTGGCTTGTGTCTTGAGATATTGGAATTATTTTGCATCTAGTTTAGCCACTCTCTAAAATGAGTTGTGATGTGATAAGGTTAGGCTTGTAGGTTGGCTGCATACTCATAGGAACCAAATGTGCTGCTAAGCAGCCTTCATGTACTGCAGCAGCTAGTTGTGGGAATGCAAATACAGAAAGGATGTGGTGAATCATAGTTATTACAACAAGAATAGTAGCCTGAGTGGAGAAAGATAAAATTAAATTGTTTATGCAGAACTTGTTATTAGCATAAATGTAAAACATACTTCATAAAAGAAAAGGTATATATTGAGAATTCCTGTTATGAAGCTATCTGAAATACCCAGTTTTCTTTTATTTATGTTGAGCAAGTTATCACATTCTGTTGCATTTGTTCTTTGAGGTCAGAAAAAGGATGATCAGGCTTATGAGTCATATTTTTAAGATAATCACTTCAAGGGTGGGGGGGCAGGGGAAGAAAACAACACTGGATTTCAGACAAAATTCTGAAAGATCAAAAAGGACATTGTTACAGCTCTTTTCATCACTTCCACACTTTATTTAGTTGACTTGATTTAATAAATTAGACAGGTCATTTTTCCTAGAGTGTTTTAATCTTTAGAGGTGTAGAGGGCAGCTGTCATCTGAAGTCTGTGATATTTAATTACAGGGGGTGGTTACTTTTACAGTTGACTGAGTTATCACATGGTTTTCACATGGGCATTTCTCAGTTGCTCCACTAAGCTTTGTAGTGTTTAATTGCTAGTATGTATGCCATAGGCATTGTCATCTGTATAACAACCTTGTTTGTATATAATTTGGTAGTGGGTCCAAAGTGGTGGTAATGGCTGTGAAACAGAACACTGAAGAGACTATCTAAGTCTATCCTATGGGACAGGAAAGAGTAATTTTTATGTGGGCAAGTCGACCTGAAACTGACAGTTGATGTGGATATTTGAGACCAAAAGCTATCTGCAGTAAAAGCCCTTCACAGAGAGCAGCTTGGTAGCATAAACTGGAGTGTGTGTTTTCGTTTGATTTGTTATTCTGATGTTCTGGGAAATAGCTGCTAGAAGTCTCTATTGCTATACTGAGAAAAAGTTTATCTTGAATCACATACTTGCTAAATTGTATGCTTATCTTCTGGGAAAACAATTTTTAAGTGAGCAATAATTGCTTTTTACTGCCTGGAGAAAATAAAAATGACCCAGAAAAAAAGGGAAACCACCAAACAACTTTGTTCAGCTTCTCGCATGCAGTTGCCCTGGGTCCCGTTCTGGTTTTGGTTCTGCATCTAGCAGTAGAGTCTGCCTTAGGTAGGAACCAGTAGTTCTGATGATGTCTTCTTTTCCTGAAAACTGTGTAGGAGACAGCGCTTTCTGCCTTTGTGTGCAGAACAAGCTGTCTACATGTGGTGACATTCTTCCTCTTTGTGCAGAACAGGTGCAAGCTGCTGCTGTACAGTAACAAATAATGGGGAAATGAGTTCTGTTTTTTAATCAGTGTTAGCTTGTTGGTCTTTATAACCTGAGACTAGTTGCCAAACAGAAGAAACAGATGCTTGAACTCAGAAGCCTGATGGGATAATTTCTAAGGTATTTCAAATTTGTCATAGCATCAGTTCTTACACTATTTCACAGAATTTTTAGAGAAATTTAGTATAAAGGAGAAGGCTTAGATGACAAAAGGCATGCTGGTATTTGTTGTGTATATGGTTTTCCAGCCTGCCACTTTTGCAACTAATATGCATAGTTTGTTTTGAAAATCTTATCTGTTGCACAGAGCTGATGTGGATTCCTCTTTGCCTTACTATGTGGTCTTAGTTTTGCAAAGACTACTTTAAAACAACAGTCTATTTTAAATATCTTTGTTTAGATACGTGTTTGTGCGTGTGTGTGTAAGTAAGGGTGTGTATGTGTTAACAGAAATCTGGCTGTCTGTTATTCCTGTTAGCAATTTTTGTGGTTTAAAAACTTACTTTCACAAATACAGAGGCATGATCAAACAATGAAACTTGTAATGGTGAAAACCATGTCAAATATGTAAGGAAACAAATGTAGAAATTAGAGACTTTGATCAAAAAACATTACAACAATTCATAGAAATTTAGAGAAACATGTTAAATCACACTTTTGTCTTGAACTCAAGCAAAGTTTATTGAGAGAGGCAATATGCTTTATTAAACTAAGTGATATAGTTATAAAGAACAGGTTTGCCTTTAGACTGGGTGCATTTATATTTCTGTGTAATGTAGACCATTGATTTGCTGGGTACAGGAGTTGGGTATTGTTAACCATCTTGTTTTATTCAGAATTGTGTATTTATACGTCAGAAGCATAAAGATAAACTACTGGTCAAAAATCAGGCTTTGTTATGTCCACATTACAGAGAATTGGGCGGTGGAGATAAGTAGGGGTTTTGGCTAGCTACATTAACAGAACACCTAAAATCCAGCTGTTTTCTCCTGCTGCATGGGTTGTCTGCTGAGTATGAACATCACCCATTATCAAAATGTCATCTGTCAAGGAAAAGCCTTTACAGGTATTTATATTTTTACATACTATGTTTAATTTTTGCTCTTTCAACTATATGTGATGCCAGACCCAGTAAATCAGTGGATTTAAGGAAGCCTTAAATATGT